TAGCTTGGAGCCTGCCTGGGGCGCTGTTGGGGCTTCCTTCTCCCACCGAGGCAGCGGCGACAGAAAATGGCCGTGAGTCGCGCTGCGGTGGCGGAGGAGGTAGCCGCGCCTCGAAGCAAGCGGGGCCTTCACCCTCCCAGTCAGCAGCCGGTCAGAGCAGGGTCGGGTTCCGCTTCCCTCCCCGGCCCCCCGGCACCCCGCGCCGTGCGGGTTCCCCTTGGACCAACTGCCGCCCCCCAGGCTCTGGCTAAGCTGTGCTGCCGCCCGAGCGGCCGCAGCTGGGGACGAGGTGGTGAGGGCCGAGGCGCAGCCGCAAGACACCCACAGCTTCCCTGCGCTGGCGCCTGCTCCCATTAGACGTACAGGCAGGAATAACCTCCGTTATCTAAGTAACAGAAACGAAGACTGCAAAGACAAGAAAGCCAGAAGGGAAGAAATGCTAGCCGGGAGGTAGAGCAGGAAGAGAGACCAAAAGGGAGGTTAAATGCGGGTTAAAAAACGAGCCCGATGGCAGAGAAGGCTGCTGCCAGGTTAAAACATAAATGAAGAGATTTGAGAAATTGACACTGGTGTGCTGAATTGAACTAAGTTCCCAAAAATAAATGCCACTTTTATTTATTCAGTGTTCTGGCTGGCAGATACAGTGCATATATATATAAGAAGGATCAAGAACAGGAGTAACTTATGGCTGAAGTTTAGCATTGTCAGGACAGCTTTTGCTCCCAGTAGCTGATAAAATACAGGGTAAAAGATTAAGATGCAGCTATTGGCATTGCCTTGCCTGAACTGAGAGTGTGTGCCAGACACATCATAGGAGCTGTGCTTAATAGGTTGGTTTCTTCATACTCTATAGAGCAGCGAGGACTTGCGGAGCAGACTGGCTGGTGTATGACCAGGGTTTTCCAACTGTGAGACACGTTTATCAGCAGTGAAGGTACTGAGAGGTTTTGTATGAATTTATTAAATCAGGAGACAGGGAAACTTGGTGTCTAGAGATGTTCTGGGGTATTTAAAAATACAGAGGCCACAGAAATTTTCCCCATCACAGCTGGAATTCTTTTTTTTTCAATATAAAATAAAAGTTTAAGCAGGACTAGCTTATTTAAGTCCAAAGATGTTTTGTGTCCTAGATCATTGCCTGGTGTGCTGGTATTGGCTGGGGTAGAGTTAATTTTCTTAATAGTAGCCAGTGTGGGGCTAGGGTTTGGATTTGTGCTGAAAACTGTTGATAACACAGTTACTGCTGAGCAGTGCTTACACAGAGCTAAGGCCTTTTCTATGCCTCACACCACCCCACCAGTGAGTAGGCTGGGGATGCAGAAGGAGTTGTGAGGGGACACAGCTGGGACAGCTGATTGACCCAAGGGATGTCCCATACCATATGACACCATATGGTGTCATGCTCAGCACATAAAGCTGGGGAAAGACCGAGGAAAAGGGGAATATTTGGAGGTATGGTGTGTGTATTCCCAAGTAACCATTATGTGTGATGGAGCCTTGATTTCCTGGAGATGCTGAATGCCTGCCTCTGATGGGAAGTAGTGAATTAATTCCTTGTTTTCTTTGCTTGTATTTACGGCTTTTGCTTTACCTATTGTACTGTCTCCATCTCAACCCACAAGTTTTCTCTCTTTTCACTTCTCTCCATCCCAACACAGGGGGAGTGAGTGAGAGGCTGCGTGCAGCTTAGTGGCTGCCTGGGGTTAAACTATGACACCTGGCCACAGCAGTTATTTTGTAACCTTAAAATAAAAAAAACATTTCAGCAATAACACTGTAAAAGCACATCCCTATTGCATACCATATAGTCATGGATGTAACATATCTCACCTGTCAAGTATATTGGGATGGGATAAAAATTAGAATCTCTTTTGTAGTGCAGTCTTGCATCTCTGTCCCACCTCAGCCTTAAAAGAAATCAGGTCACCTCATCTCCACAGAATACAACAAATAGGACTGAACTGGGACAAAACATCCTTTCCCCAAGCTATAATCAGCAAGTACTTCATTTAAGTGCCTGGCTAGGACTCATACTAGCACAGAGTCTTGTTTTCAGCCTGGTTTTATGTTTGTCCTGATGGTACACTATAAACTGCTATACTGAAATGGAAAACAAGGCAACCTGTTGCCTCATCTGAAGTTTCCAAACCTGTTTATTGGAGTTCCCTCTTCAGCCACACGATGTTTCTTCTGGCTCCTTAGGCAAACCAAGATGATCTGAAACACCAGAGACCATCAGCCATCAGTGGGTTGCTGCATTTACTAGGTTCCTTTCCAGACACCTGTATTTTGAAACAGTAGACCCCCAAATGATTGTTTGAATGGGGAAAGCTTGTGACATCTCACAAAAGCCACCTAGGCCTCCCTACTACCAAAACCTTGCTATGTAGCCCCAATACACCATTTCAGGGGACAAGAGTGTGGAGGATTTGGTAGGAGGCATATTACTGCCCCCACAGTAACAGAGTTCCTTTCCTATATGGGAACCTTTCCTGAAGCCAGTAGTCATCAAACATGTTTAAGAGACATAATCACGAATGACATTTTAAACGAAGTGTAAATAAGCAAGTTAGCAAGAAACAATAGAAAATCTGAAAAGGTTGTAACTACCAGCAGACCTTTTTCTTAGTTCTTAAACCTGGGAGTCCTGGTGGTCACAAGCTCATTATAACTGAACGGTGTGCAGCTGTGGCAAAGAAAGCCAACAGGATGCTGGGTTACATCAACAAGGGCATCCCCAGCAGAGATAAAGGTGTCATTATCGCACTCTACTTAGTGCTTGTCAGCTTACACCTGGAATACTGTGTTGGTTTGGTCGCCACTACAAAAAAGATACGGGCAGGCTGGAGAAGGTCCACAGAAGGGCCACAAGGATGATCAGAGGACTGGGAAGCTGTATGGGGAAAGGCTGAGGGAGCTAGGCTTGTTCAGCCTGGAGAAGAGAAGGCTCAGGGGGGACATTATCACCATATTCCAATATTTAAAGGGTAATTACAAGTAAGCGAGAGACTCCCTTTTTACAATGAGTCAGTCACATGGAAAACACCAGGGGTAATGGGCACAAGTCACTCCAGGGGAGATTCCAATTTTATGACTCTGAATGATGATCAGTGATGCTCCTCTCAGGACAGGATCTTCAAATTAGCTGGCAGAAGACTAGAAACGCAGTTTGTGCTCCTTCCAGCTTCTGTTCCTGACAGTTTAGAAACTTAATGCATCAAACAAAGTTTGCCCTTACAGCTTGATGAGACAGAAATTGCACCTTCTCCAGTTTTGATTCTTAATTTTTAATGCATACCGCACAGATGAATGAATTCATGTCAGGGATGTAAAAAGGCTAACCCACATTTTTATACATACATGACATTTAGCGTACATTACCGCTCTATTTTTAAATAAGCAAACACTCCTGTCATAATCAACAAGGAGTCCCAACACTTTCACAACATGTCATGGCTAATGTAAATATCTTTTATTGTATATTAATCCCAGCGCAATTTCTGCTTTTACCATTCCAGAGACACCATACACAATCATTAATGCCAAGACTGGTTAAACTGCAATGTCACTATTTTTTGAGAGTGTCATGGATTTGCTACAGCACAGAGCACAACATGGAATTCTCTGATCTATATCCTTGCTTTCTTTGCTACCTGCAACTTCCAACAGTACTTCAAGTGAAGTCTAACGCCATTTCTGTGTATTTAAAGATGAAGCACAGTAAAAACAGAAGACACTGTGCTTACCAGCAGATTCTTTATTAGCTCAGAAAGTTCATGAGACATCACCATTTCACACCAGTTTCCTGCTGGCTTAGGTTTTTAGACCTCATGACAGAAAACTGCCATTTCATTTATCTGTTTTCCTGAAGCAAAATGACATCATTCAGAGCATGTGACTTCAGTTTTTCAACTAATAATTCCATGTTTATTCCTCATGATCAGAGAGGTAACTATAAATTCATGAAACAGCTACAGGAAACCAGCAATTAGTAATGGCAGGAAGTCCATGTGAAAGTTTCTGAGTAATTATGAAGTGAGAAATAATCCAAAAAGAACTGAAAAAATACAAGGTTTGTGGTAGAAGGGGCAAAAAAGTGGCCAAGATGGGAAATGCAGGTAAACACAAAGGAGTTAAAACCAGGAGACCTGAAAAAGACACCAAAATGGCATCGCACAGGAAGTTAAAAGGGAGTAAGAGTCATTGGTCTGGTCAAAAAACAGATCAATAAAGTTTGCAAAAAGATCATTTTAAGAGCAGAAAGTTATTTCCCCTTCTCAGGGGAGGACTGGTAACCTCAGGCTGGTTACTACTTCAGATTATGATTTTCAGTTGTGGATTGCTATTCCTGGTAATATTTGTATTTTGGATTTGGCTCAGCTGATCAGAACAAATGCCATCAACTTCATAAAATAATGATAGCTATTAAGACATGCTCCGACTCTGCATTTTTTGACAATGATCAGTTAAAATTAATGAATCCTTTGAATGAATTCCACAGAAAAAGCGTTTCCATCAGAAAACAGAGAAGTCTGGAATTACTTTCAGTGTTTTTTAAAACTTATTGCAGTGAGCAACCAGCAAAGATGTGCACAGGCAGCTAAATTAGAAAAGGAATATAAACCCCACTATTTACATCTGTTAACAAAAATAACAGTTTTTAGAAAGTACAGATAACTTACTAGAAAATCAGTTTTTGGAAAGCACAAGCAAATGAAAAGAGATTTAGAATAGCATCTTTTTACTAGAGTTTTTTAATAAATCTGATTTATTACCTTATAATATTATAATATTTAATTTGCAAGACCTTGCTATTTGTCTTCTGCCACTGATGATAATAATGCTGCTTATTTTATAAGAGAGGTAACATTCAGCTCTTCTCACTCATTCTATTTTATTAACTCAGTATCTATCAGGTTATTTTTAAATTTCCCAAAATAATAATATCAAAACCACCAATAAACTGACTGTTAGATGCTCTAAAATTGGTATCACCTTAAAAGAAAATAATGGAAGAATTAGTTGTGATTTTGCTTGTTGTCCCAGCTCATCATTTTATTTTTTCATGCAGCAACTGTGCAGATTTAAAATATTCTTGAGCAATCTTGTGTGACTTATAAATTGTTTTTCCATCTGAGGTTGGGAGAGTCCTCACGTACTGTTAAGAAAACAAGACATTAGTTGCAAACTAATGTTTAGACATTATGTATGAACATTAGACTATCTCAAACTTCACCTGTACATTTGCATGTATGTCTATACATGTCATTTTCATTAACAGTATTAAAATACTTTCCCTCAGGCCAGTGTTGAGTTTTAACGGAAGCTGATAAACATTCACTATTTCACAATGTAACCTAGCAATATAAAGAATGATTAATAAAATAGGGTTTAATAAACCTACAGTTATTCAAAGTTCAGAACATTAGAATTCTAGATATTAAGAAATTTGAGGTAACAGAGCAGTTGGTTCCTTTTCTGAAGTTTATGAACTTAAGAGAAAAAACCTTGTGCTGCTAAATTAGGAACAGCCAAATTATTTTTATCTCATCATCAGCTGTGTTCTAAAAATGCACAGCAATGACCAAGATTTTTATATCAAAACATCAGAGAAAGCTTACATGCACCTATTGTACCATTCTTGTCCAATACAAAGCATTATTTTTCTGGTTTAAGTGAGAAAAGCAAATCTGTAAAGGCAGTATCACTCCTAAGTGAAGGTATAAAAGTTATGTTAATATAAACTGCAATCCCTACAATGAAGAGGTGAATTAATGACTGCAGCAGACAGCATATGGCCGTAATTTGCATTGAGTAACTCTTTTGTAATGTTGTAATATCCCTGTCATATTCATTAGCAATACTGACAACATGTTTCTTTGGAAAAATGCTTTGTGAAAATTAAGCAGTGTTGTGACTGCAACTCAAGTCTTCCATAATGAGAAGAAAACTTGAAATACTGCAACTCAGACTATGTGGAAAGGACACCATATCAAAGCCAAATTAATAAGTCCATGAGTACACAAGCATTTTTATGCTACATGCTCAGAAACGAACAGAATCAATCTTCCTTAACAGATGTCCTTAATTTGAACTGAAAAACTAAGGTCACATGATGTTACGTGCTTATCATTGATCTGTGTCTAAGCTTGTATTAAAAAATTTAGCAACCATTTCCACACTGCAGAGATCAGCACAGAAAACCCCTGGGTGTTCTGATAAGACTGCTTTCCACCTTCTCTGTGAGCACAAATTGAAGACTAAAAAACAAACCAAACAAAAAAATGTTAAAGGGCAACTAAGCTTGCTGGAAAGCAGAAGCATGCAGCTGAGTGCAAGAGTCACAACAATTCTTCCTTTAGTTATTTAAGCTTTCTAGTAACTGCAGACAGTTGCAACTTGGGGAACATATCTATCTGAAGCTCCATATCTGCTGAATCTTCAAAATTCAAAGGCGATTTCTGAGGAAAATTGAGTTTTGGTGTTTTTTGTTTTTCTTTTCTAGTAAGCATGAAAAGGGTGCTTTTTTTGAAAACAAACAACAAAAAACCCAAACCCAACAAAAAAATCCCACCCTGGCTTAAGGGATGAAAATCACTCTCTCATTCAAACAAATTAATTCTTGGACATTTAAGATGCACATACACAATCTTTTGCAGGAAGGACTGCAAGTCTACCTTAAAGAGGATGGTAATTTATCCACTACTTCATTTAACAGAAAATGCTGTTGCTTGAGCTACTTTGCTAGTGAAAGGAAAGGATAGTCAACAGCCTCTGATGGCCCATATGGAATCTTGTGGAACCAAACTGGAAAAATGTGTAGGTCAATAACGTATGTTAACATTCAAGAGCTGGTGCACCAAGTATCATGCACTAAGGTTTCATGGCATAAGGACATGATTTCCTGAACTTCAGTAATGACTGTCTTTGTGTGACTCTATTTTTTTTTTTTTAATAACAAGAAGGTCATTATTATTGCAAATACTAAGTCTCAACTGTTCAAACAGCAGCTAGAAGCTGATTTGTTATTAAAATAAACAGAAAGTCTAAGTTGGAAGAAATACAGTAATTTCATGTTGTTATTCAGGCTCCTAAATGTTGAAAATTTGAAATAGTTGTAAATATTGTGTAATTCTTACTTCTAAGTAGTCAGTCCTGGGTGCAGTTATATAATGTACAAAAAGAAACATTTTCTTTAGCTTCTGGCTGAATGATGTTTCTACATGCATATGCCGTTACAGAAATAGAATACTTCACCTTGTAAAGGCACAATCTAGAAACAGCAAACTAAACATAGTTGCTCTACTTCAGTACTGTACTAACCAGAGATTGTAAAAATTCACACTACGTGATTTTAACTGTCTCTGGAACACAAACATACAATATACATATTTAGGAAAGGCAGAATTGTAAAATGTAATCCCATCAAATGCTATATGCATGCACAGTTAGGTAGGAATTTCAGCAAATAGACAAAGGTATAAACACTAGTGTTAGAGGAATGTATTCCATGGTATGTCTTATTATGCTCCTTCCACCCTCCATCCACAACTTACACACTTTTTCTTCTTTCTCCAACTTCTTCAAGTGCACTAGGAGGTTACTTTCTGCTGCTCGAAGTAAATTTTCAGGGATCTCCTAATGGGAATACAAATAGGCATTCTCTATTTGTTCAAATATCTCCCAATTATTTTTTCAATATATGGAACTTGTAGTTTATTAATATAGATTTTTCTCTTCTGAATTGCTATGTTGAGCACTCAGTTATATAATGACAACAAACCGAAATGAGTAAATCAATTTTACAGCAGTTAAACTGGTAGCCTAATAACACACTTCTGTTTGCTTTGCTCATGCTTTGCATTATCCATCTGCATTATGCAAAGGCTGGCCAATGCTAAGAAACCTGTGCTCTTCTAAACTTGGTCTGCACCAGGTTGTCAGTGTAGCTGTGTATTTTTAAAGACAAATTTAAAGATGCATTTGTCCACTGATACTTTCACTTCTATTCCATGACAATATTTGCATGGGTTTAAATATCCTTATACAACTTCAGAAGAACAGAATGTCTTTTAACATTTCAAATGCTCATTAGGTAAAACCCCAAAACATTTCTCAACATCATCATCTTCAGCTCTATCATCTTAAAAGTAAAGCCTCCTTTCTGAAAATTAAAAAGTTCTCCAAATAATGAGTCTGGCAGGAAAATTTGCTAGAAAACTCAGTAATTTTTGAATCTTAAAAAAACACTTTGAAAGATTTCCATTTCTACACATCTGCACCCTCCTGCAAACTGGTAAGACCAGGAACTAGAAGTTTTAACCAATCTTTCAGAAAACTCCAAAAACACCTTAACAGTCATCTCTTACTTTTCACTTAGAACCAAGCACTAAAACTTTATTTCTGCTTGGTCCTATGAAACTGTGATTAGGACCATCTTGATAATGAAATAAGAGTTTGTAAGAATAATCTGGGCCCCATGCCAATAAAGTGGTTAAACAATATAATTTAAATGCACAGTCATATATGAATTCCAAACAAGCAGAAATATTTTCTATCTTTTAAAAAGCCACCATGGTCTTCACTCAAATACTTAAACTGTTACATACCACCTTATGAGCATAACTTCAATTTTTTTTTTTAGTTTCGTCTAAAAACTTCCAATCAACAATTACCTTATACACTATCTTTACAAGTTCTGAGGATGTATATGATTTTCCAACATTCTTCTGGAAAACATTCAGAATTTGCTGTTCACGTGCAATTCGGTGAGAAATGTAGCCCTGGATTCTAGTATTTGCATCACGTACTACTGGGCCGTGACCTACATCAAAAGACACATAACAGACCACTATTACTTATATTTGCAATTAAGTATGTTATTGAATAACTGAATCATTCTTATGTAAACTCTGGTAGACTTAAAAGTCATAAGAAGGGAGCAGCACCTGTACATACCACCCTGTCAGAGTACCCTTTTTTTTTTTTTTTGGCATATAAATACGCAAAAATTAAGTTTGGATGTCTGCATCACAGTCTTCAATGGACATATATTAAGATGGAAAGGAAAAATTAGGATCTGAAAAAACGTGAGCGTGGAAAGGGAACACTTCAAATGGTATAAGGAAAGCAAGGGAAGATTAGACTATAAAAAAAAAAAAATAATGGAAGGGAGTTCAGGAAAAGAGTTCACTGCTGAAGAGATTTTCTGTTACCTCTGCCTGTACCACTCTCCCTAAAGGATATTGATACTGATGATTTTAACTGATCCTGGTCTTTGAACAGTAGTGGTGAGGCAAAGGACTCATGTACTACTGTGCTGCTGGGGGCTATCTAGCGAACACAAGGGCTAGAGAAGTAACATTTTAATTACAACAGATAAATTTCCCAGGACAGATCTTCAAAACTGACTCACACACTGTACTTTATTCCCTTAAACATGTACTTTCGTAAGTCTGATCAAAAAAACTAGTAGAACACAACTCAGTGAACCAGCTGGAATGTGTCAGGGCAGGAATAAGCAATGCACAAGGAACGTTATACATGGATCATTTTATGTATGGCTGGTTAATAAACAAAATGTGTTTTTACTGTGGCAGATCAGAAATGTTCAACTTACTGAAAGGTCTTTCATTCAAACTAGAAAAAGGCTTAATTGGTAAAGAACTAATCTTTGTGGAAAAATCAAATACTGCCTCATGATATGCTAAAACAATAGATTAAATATTTTTCAGACATTGAAAGTTACATGCACAGAAATTAATGTTTTACCTATGGAGAAATTTAGTTGCATGAATATTTGTCACATACTTTTAGCAAGATTTTCTATTTCTTTGCCTGTATACCTCACCTGAAGTAGCAGCACCAAATTCCGGCTTTGCCAGTATAACTCCAAGTAATTTATAAAATTGATAGAACAGAAACTGCTGTAAAGAAACATACCTTTCTTTTAGAAGTTACCTGCTATCATCCAAATCAGTTTCTTCTGAAGCTGACAATTTAAAAAAAACCATATTCTTTATTTGTATTTTTGGGCTAACTGACTACATGGGGTTTTAGTTTTAAGGTTTTAAAATTACAGCTTATATTTCCTGAGAACAGGTAGTGTATAGAAAAACAGCAACTCATTTTTCATGGTTTGAATATCCATGAAATGAAGTGTCAGAGGAATCTCTTCTTCACAAGTCAAAATATTTATGCATATATTCACTTATACACTCACTTCAGCAACTTTGAAATGACAAAATATACACTGAAGCTTAACTTGTGTAAAGGTAGTATTATAAATAACAAATATGCAACATTTGAATAGAAAACTGTAATCTCATATGCACATATATTTAATGATTTCAAAGATATTTAATTTGAAGCTATTGTTACTTACAATGTAAATTACAAACATGACAGTATCTCTAGTCAATATGTTACCACTTATAAAAACAGAAGTTTAAATTTAGAAAAAACACATCAAGATATACAGAGCAGAGACTAGAAAGAGACTATAATGGTAACTGTCCATTCTTTTGCATCCTCTAATGACAGAAGTTACATTATTCAAAATTAAAGCCTGAACATGGAATCACAAGACAGTCTTAAAACCAGTCCCTGCTCTTCTAAGTGCATGTCAGTAACTGGAATGGAACCCACATTTTCCAAAGTTAAAAGAATTTCACATCCATTACAGCAAATGTGTATGCATATACATACATTAATGTCAGAAAGCTTACAACTAAATCCAGATGTGGATCTTTTCCATCCATAATTAACAGCTACACAGTTAACTTCACCAATAAATATCTGCATAAATGTAAAATGTTCCTGAGCATGTGAAAGAGACGTCAAAATCGACCATCTTCCCAGTAATTCAGACTTTGTATCCAGCAGCTTCTTATTATTTCAGAATTCTGTAGAGCCCATATGATCAGAAACAGTAAGTTTTTATTCTCATAACACCCTATGAAGTAATACAGGCTCTCTTACTTTACTGTAAATTAAAGCACAAAGGATGAATTTGAAGAAAAGAACCAGCTCATGAAATTTCACCCAGATTTCCTAACTCCAGTATGTTTTGTACCTGTATTTTCAAGCAACATCATTTATTATTATAGGATGGGGAGCCCTCTACTGACTAAAAAGCTCTTTTCTGGTCCAAAGAATTCTCATCAACTATCGGCTGTAAATAGACTGTCACGAGCATTATGCCTGAATTCATTTCCACATTAAAAAACTTGGAAGGGGAAGGCAAAATTCAGCTACTCACAGGTAGCCAGCAGTCAGCTTGTTACAGAAATTCATGCTCTCCTACATTTAACTCTGAGGCTGCAATGTGAATGCTAAAGCATGTACAGAAAAAGTTCAAGAATTATGAAGACCTAAAACTGCAATAAAGTCTAAGTACTGAACTTATCCAGAATGTGTTGGTAATGCAAACTACCTTCTAGTTACCATGTTACTGTAGTTCATACCAGTAATTTAAACAATTTTTCTGATGGTGCAATAGCTATCTTTTACACAAATGCACATACATTTTGTGCTGCGTGGATAAAAAAAAGGAAGTTAGTTCCAAACTATCTCAGTACATCACTGAAAATGTGTAATATCCCACTGGCTTTCTTACTGCAAGTACAGCATGAACATACTTACAACAGTGTAGCAAAAAGCTACAAATAAATACACAAATATTTAACCTTGGTCAATGTATAATCTAGATAAATAATGACTAAGGAGAGAGTGAAATACAACAGATAAAATTTAATTTGGCATGTATGGAGTTATTATTAATTTTACTAGTAGTAAAGTAAATTACTGTGAGCAAGTCACTATTTCTATGTCAGCTTCCACATCCATGAAACATCTATAATGATATTTTTCTTAAATAGCATTCTTATGCTTAGATCCTAAAGCACTTAAAGAACACCTACTTCAAGAAGTGTATTTTAAGAATGAACACAAAAGAGATTTGCTTACATAGGCTAAACACAGATGGTTAATGGAGGAAGACAGAACTAAGAATGTAGACACAGTCACTCAGAATGACAACTGGAAGAAGATGGAACAGAAAAAGTCAGAAGAAATCCCGAGATGTAGCCCTGAAAAACCAAATGAGTAGCTTAAACTTTAGTTACATAACGATTTCTTAAAATCCAGTCTTGCCAAACAGACATGTGGTTTATATGAAAAGTAAATGCATTCCCAAGGTTTGGGGAAGATAGAGGAAAAAAACAAAAGCAAATTCACAGAACAAATGAATCGGTGACATTTTTAGAACGTGGTGTTTGGCCTCTTGGCTCTTTTTCAAATTTAAGCTAAGTCATTAAAATAAGACAACCATTTGACAGTTCTGCAGCTTTCCAAGATAAATTTGTGATTAATCCGTGTTGCAAAAAACAGACATCTCTCTCCAAAAACATTCCTAAGTAGCTCGCATTGACTGTGTGGGGATGCAAATGACCAAAACAACAACTATTATTTTTTCTGCCAGGGTACATTAAAGCATATGGATAGAGTAGTATCAGAAACCCAAATTTGCTGAATGACTACAACAGTGATTCTGACCTCTGTGTGCTCTGGGCACAGAAGCACAAGATTCACCCTCAAATGGAGAAATCTTGGGAAGGAAAGATACCCATCACAGAAAAATTCTCAAGTCTTGCAAACCACCATGCCACAAAGTCTTCTTGGACATATATTAAGTAGTGAACTTGAATTGTTACATTAGTAATGGTGTTTGCTTACAGTAAGAGTTCTCAGATTCTTAGAGGCTGTAGTTAAAAAATATATAGTAAACCAGAGCAGTTATAAATAGAACCGCTTACCAGGATATATTAAATCTACTTTCATTTGTAACAACCTCTCCAAAGTTTTCATGTAGTCATGCAGGTCTTCAATTACTGTTGTTCCTTCCCCTAAAATGCAGTCACCAGAAAATATAGCATTTTCTTCTTCTAGATGTAAAGCCATATGATCATCAGTGTGTCCAGGTGTATATAAAACTCTGTTTAAAAAACAACAAAAAGTGTTAGCTTTTCATACAGCATGTATGCTTCATTTTCAGAAGCTAGAAACAAATAATAAAATCGTACACTTAGAAAGCAGCTCACAAACAGAAAAAAAATAGACCATAAAAGGCAGAAATGTCAATGTAAACAGTGACTGCTTTGTCTAATCCCAGTCTATTTTCCTACACCATGTAGAGAATACATCGCAAACCTACTTTTACTTGTGTGACACATAACAGAAGTGAATTAAGGGAGCTGGCTAGCCATGTAGAATTTGTGTTATAAAGGGCTTTACTCTGAAGCTTTAAAAAAGAAAAATTGGCATGTCATTTGCAGATTGAAATGTGTTAAACTCTTGACAAACACCTTGCATTTAGCAAAATGGTAAGGATGATGGTGCCAATTCTTTTAGAAATTAACTATAAACTGCTGGATCCAATGCAGTTAAAGTTCTGTCTCCCAAAATTTATTTTTCCCTGAAAGCCCCATGACAGAGTGGAGCTGTCAAATACAACAAGTAATCTTCTAGCTGTTCTATGTGCAGGTCATTAAACATCAGTGGGAAGGATTTAGGACCTCACAGCTTGAATAAGTACTGCATTAGAATGAATCAAAAGGTAAATCGGCAGCTGATATGAGCTTCTGAGGAGCGGTACTGTAGTGTCCCTTCACTGTAACTTTTAAAAGGCAGAAGGCTTCATGATGAAGTTGATTCAAAGCGAAAGTAACACAACTCAGACCTACATCACTGCTGAAATTCATCAGAATTGTCTTATTAATGGTAGATGCATCAAAGCAACGATCAGGAACTGACATATTTGGTGTCAAGCACACGGTACAGGCCAACAGTGTACATGCTAAGCAATACCCAACCACGTTAGTAGAGGGCTGGGAGGCCAGAAGCACAGCACCACCTGATGTAATGACTTCCAGCTTTTACTGAATACTGAGTCCACCAGAAATCAGGTGAGCCAACACCCTACAGAGGCAACATAAAAATCAAGTTCATTGGTTGCTTCATCATATCTTGGTAGGAAGTGGCATCCTCCAGTTCCTGATGAAACTTAACCACTAATATGGAAAAAAACAAAGGAAAAAGAACCCAACACCACCTGACACACCCTGAAAACTTGAAGGTGGTTAACCAAAATTTACAATGCAGTTATTGGTTATTTTGGAGCCAGTGGTGCATCTAATCATATCCTTAAAATGCTTACTGAATTAACAAGGTGGGAATACCTGCTTTCAACCAAGCATAAAGTTTGGTCGCACTACCCCAAACCTCAAGATGTGCCACGTCTGTCTTACTTGGATTCAAATTTAACAAGTTGTTTTTGATCTCTAAATCGATTTTGTCCCAACATGCCACTAAGGCTAGTGATAGATCTGCAATATTCAATATAATACTCTCTATGTTGTTGCTTAGGTGCTTGTTTGTTTGGTTTGTTTACTTTATTTTCACACTAACAAAGGAAAATGCTTTTGGTCACATACATCCTTTGTATATTTTTTCTTCCAATCAGCCAACTGGTATATTCTACAAGTGGAATATAATTCACTTATAAATTGAGGAAAACAAGCAAGATTTGTCCTTAGAAGAGTAATGCCTTGTTAATGAAAGAAGTCTAGTAACGGAATGGCCCAATCTTTTCAGTGTGTGTGTTTGTGTGAGGCAGAGTGGCTTTCTACTTCACATTCATTCAAGCTAACAAGACAGGCAACATGCTTTCTGGGAAGAAGCCTTCCTGAATTGGCACCCTGCAAGAACCTGACAGATTAAATGTTTAAGATGTAACATTTTACATATGTTTTAGTATCCTTTTGGGAAATATTTTAAAACTAAAAAGAAAGGCATGCCAAATAATCCATCCAGACTACAATAAACTTCCCAAATGTATCAATTTTAATAATAATTACTCATCTAAGAGTGATGAGAAAGTAAGTAAAATCCTATTTAATTTTCCTGGAGAGAATACTTTTAAGGGAAATATTCTTTATTTGTCTGCTAAAGAAAAACTAAAGGCTAATTCCTGATAATCCTCATTCATAAAAACAATTTCTTCGTATAAACATACCCTGCTAATTCATGATAGGAAGTCTACATGCCTAAATGTAGAAAAGACTAGATGTATGGCTTGACAATCATTAGAAGTTAGGATACATATATATGTTAGAATTCTGAAGAAAAACAGTGATCCAGAAAACTTGCAGAAATTGGTGTTTACCTGAGTGTGGCTCCTTCTGTCTGCACCACATCTCCCTCTTTAAGATAAAAATATTTATGTCCTCCTCTTATATTTTCTTCACGGTGAGGGACACGAGGAAGCTTACTGATGCGATATTCTGAGTCTATTTAAAAAAAAAGCAAAGAAAATTATCTGTCGCTAACAAAGCTTAATTATTATACAGTATGAATACGAAACTTGAAACAAGAAACTCGGTACAGCAATTTTGTTTACAAAGTGTATTTATTCCAGAGCCACAAACACTGACCAGTGAAAGCCACTGAATCTGAACACTGTACTCTGGACAAGCAGCAATTCTGAAGATGAAAAAGCACAAATAATAAAGAAATGTCAATAATTACTATAGTTTACAAATCTTGACCCATCAAGAGCCAAAACCCACAATTTTCTATGACAACGCATTTCTGTGCTCACATTCTACATTATGATTCACAGAAGCACCATTCAACATTTGCCTAACACTGGATGGAGGCTTTGATTTGCAGCTTCCGTCAGTGTCTGCCATCCACACCTGTACATGAACGATGAATGCCTTAGTTGGAACAGCTACATAGAGCAACCCAGAAAGTTATTTATATCCTTTGCTAGCCTTTACAACCATGTTCATGGGTTGACAAGATCAAAAACCTCACAAAGGCATCAACGCTGTTTTAACTAATGCCTGTGCTTCTTTGTAGACAAACACTTGGCAACTTCACAAACTCTGATGAAGCCTGTGACAAAGTCCAAGAAACTAAGAACTGCCACGTTATCCATTCTGCTTATTCTCCTGCCAGATACTAAAGCAGAAACCTCTCTGTTTATCAACACCGAGTAGATATTTTTAGATCAGAATTTACCTGCAGAGTGCCCTACCTGCTTTCCTCTCTTGATCTGAGGCCTATGAATTTGTCAGCAATTACTAATGGTCTGCTGTAAAGAATCTCAAAGTTATGCACGGTTCTTTTTCAGAGAGTATGTTATTTTTTTTTCACACAGCAAAAATAGTGGTCAATTTGTCATTACTGTCAATATAGAAAGGAATGAGTATCCAGTTTTTCTCTTATCTCTTAATACCATGCAAACTGCATGTTAAATTAGGGTCTCATTATTTACATGTAAGAAAAATTCACTATAAATGTATGCATAAAAAATTGAAGAAAAACTGCCACTACAGTATTCAGATGATCTACTGCTCTTATTCTATACACTGCAGCAGTATCATGAAATTACATATAGTTTATATGGAGATTCTAGAAGAATAAACTGTCTGATTTGCACAGAAGCACTCCGTAAAAGTTTTCTTCTTTACCATATGTCTACCATTTTCAACAATACTTGAAATCTCTGGCCTACCATTAGGGATGTTTTCACAGATATCAGATATTCCACCAACGTGATCATAATGCCAGTGTGTCACTAAAATTTCTTGAATTGAGATGTTGAACTCTGACAGCGCCTGCTTCAAACAGCCAATATATTCAGGAGTATTCGGCTGCCCAGTGTCAATAAGGACTCTTCTACACACGGACAAAAGAAAGAGAAAAAAACCAAACAGTGAGATAGTTCCTTGTGCTCATGTGACAATGTTACATTACATAGCAATGTGGTAGTCAAGATGCCTCCGTATTCCACACACCCTCCCTGACATTCCTCCGCACCAGTGACACAGCAATTTACAAAGGGGGGGGGAAATAAGTAATTAAACTTAGACCACACATTTCCAGCTCCAGGACGAGCCGCAGGAGCCACCGTTTAGCACGGCCTGGAAGGCCTGAGGCGAGGTACCCATCCGCTCCCTCACGGCACTCCCTTGCCCGGCCACGGGTCCACACCCCAGCCGCCCAAACCACCTCCTAGAACCGGTCACGGAGACTTAACGCTGTAATATTTGTTCTCCTTTTTACCCTAATTAAGAGATTTCGGAACAGCCGGAGGCAGCGCACAGGGCTCAAGCGGGTCGGGGCGCAAGGGGATCCGGCGGCCACCCGGTCCGCTTCCCCTTTCCCCCCCCCGGTCCCGAGCAGGGTCGTTACCTGGAGCCGGTGCCCACCAGGTAGGTGTTGGTGCCCTGCAGAGTCATGGGTCCCGGGTTGCAGCCCAGCACCCGCACCACCCGCGACGAGAGCCGCTCGATGCGCGGCAACAGCGAAACCATCCCTGCAGGGGCACTCAACAAATAAACCTTCCTCCTTCCCCGCCGCCCCACTCCCGGCTCCGCTTACACCAACACCGAGGGCGGGAAGACGGAAGCCACAATTCCCCCTGCTCCGCCTCTCGGCGCCGGACGCGGGGCCTTCCGCCCGGTTGTGAGGCGGTGTTTCCCGGACGCTGCCGGGGCAGGACGGCGGCGGTTTTCGGTTAAAAGCAGCCGCCAGAAACACCTCAAACATTGTGGTAATTCGGTGGAATAAAGGCGATACTCTTCTTTGGCTGGTCGGTGCCTCGCTGCTGCTCTGTGAGAGGCAGGTCTGGGCTCTGCTGGCATCTAAAGCTGCAGGAATTTGTTGTAGCTACAAGCTGCATCTGCTGCATATTTTGAGAACATGCCTGCTTGACAGCATATATAGGAGTTATATATGCTCCTGTGTGTCATATAAGAGCTATCTAGGTTTCGGCATTTTAAATTAAAATGGGGAGGTGCTGGAGGGCGTTCCAGTGAAAGGACATTAAAGTGGTGAAGGGACTGGATATCTCTCATGTGATGAAAGGCTGAGAGAGCTGGGACTGTCCCGCCTGGAGAAGAGAAGGCTCAGGAGGGATCTCATCAATGTATGTAATGCCTGAAGGGATGATGCATAAACGATGGAGTCAAGTTGTCACAGGACCATTGTCTCTGGTCTTCTCACAGGGCCCAGTGACAAGACCAGAAGCAGTGGGCACAATCTGAAACACAGGAGGTTCTCTCTGAACGTCAGGAAACACTTTTTCACTGTGAGAGTGACTGAGCACTGGCACAGGTTCTCCAAGGAGGTTATGGAATCTCCATCCTTGGTGATACTGAAAACCTGTCTGGACATGGTCCTAGTAGCTGGTTCTAGGTGGCCCTGCTTGAGCAGAAGGGCCCCTTCTAACCTCAAACATTCTGTGACTTTGTGAAATTTTGTCAATATCATCCAAATAGTAACACTGTGTTTGCAAACAGCATTCATTCTAGAGTCTGCGAGGTGCTGAAATTCACCTTTTTAGCTTTGCAATGTCCCCTCTGAAACGCCTGATAAATTGCTTTTCAACTGGCATTGTTAGAGAAATTAGAGCAGACTTGTTCTCTCCTTAAAGTACCTGCAAATGAAGCATAAAGCTAATTTAACCTGAAATCAGAGCAGATAATATTCGTATGAGCAACTTTACCAATATTAGAATTTCAAATATTATCTCATTGGTTTATACCTATATCAGATCCTAATCCTAGATATTACCTGTAACAAATAAATGTAAATTTTTAAGGTGATCATAGCAATACAAAGTACAAAAAAGTGTTTGGTGATAGCAAATTGTTGTTCAAATGTTTTTTCTTTATATGAAAACAGAGTTGCAACCCTTATATGCCATCTGGGGCCGTTTCTAGGATTTGCCTGGTCAAACAACAGAATCCAACTGCCTTCTGAAGGGGCAGAAATTCCTAAACATGATCTTGATAGACAAACTTCCAAATGACTTGTTAGAAAAACAACTCAGAGTACAGCATGTAACTGAAAAACAAAATTAGGTGGCTTCAACAGGACTTCGCATCTTCATGAAACTTTAAATTTTCTGGTCTGCTTAAATGCTAATGTGGGCAAGTAATACCAGTAGTACATGCTGGGAGATGAGCTATTAAAGTCTTTGGCATACTAACAAAGGTCTGCATCTTGCCTTGCATGACAAACTCTAACACTACATCTCTTTTCTCCTTCCCATATTGCAGGTTCTCAATCTGCCACAGATCCACCTGATGTGTTTGGCTTCCTGGGGAGTGCAAGGCAGGGGTTGGCACGAGGCAGAGAGGCAGCTCTGAGGCAGGCCCTTCTACCTGCTTAGCCATGCCATGCTTGCTAGTGTTGACTACGAACTTCTGATTTTCAGGTGGCCTGCAAGGTCAGAGAACAAATGGTGCCTTTCAGCTGCCTGGTCACAGACAGCAGCACTGCATTTTCGGTCCAAGGGCCAATTTGAGTTGTTTCATCAGTTCCAATTCAGCTATAGTTAGTACACTTACAGTGCTAGCTAATTCTTCAGCTGCACAAACAGTGTTCATTACCTTACAGACACCCATTCAGCCATAGAGTGATGCATAAGAGGCCTGCTGGCAGTATGGGTTGCAGGCCTGTAGTATGCAGCAATTAAACAAGTCTACTCCTGGACACGGACTTCGACTGCAGCTGTTAGTTGCTAGGCATCACAAAAGCCATGAACAGAAATTCTGCCACAGTACAGGTAAGGTCCATGCCTATATTTAAGCCTCCAAGCCAATTTCTTTGATTTATCTGATAGGCCAAAATTTTACTTGAGTTATAAACCCATTACATTTATTTTTTTATTTACAAGCTCATCAAAGCATGAACTACAGATAACAGAAAGGATGTTTCAGGTCAAAGGAAAGAAGCCTTTTTGTGTGCAGGTATGCTGCTGAAGTAAGCAACACCCCAATACACAGTATTTCAGTCTCTTCTCGTATAATTTTCCTGTATACTGTTTTATAAGAAACCGTGGCTAGACCTGAACTTACCTAATCATGAGGTGCAATATTATGCTGACTTTGTAGCATGTCTACACCAATTTGGTGGTACATTCAACCCATTTGCAGTCTATAGGTAGAGTTTAGTTGCTATGTCACTAGAAGAAGGTATTACCTAAGCAAAGGTTTCCTATTCTAAGAAAAGTGGTTTCCCATTTCTAAGAAATTCTAAGAAAATTTTGGAAGTTTAGAGATTTCTGAACTGATTTACATGAAGTTGTCAGGTCATTGATAACTCAGCAGCAGCAAGATGCCGGTTTTATATATATATAACATCACAAGATTTTTTTCCCTACATTAAAGCTGTTTAGGGAATTGTGGACTTGTTCCCCAGGGAATGCTTACTGCAACTGTCACTGTCTGCTGCTGAAAGAATAAATTTTCCAGCGTTAGGTAGGAGTTATGAATCTGTTTCGTCCGTAGGTGGCAGAAGTGGGTGCTTTTGAGTAGTGAAGTACAGGTTCTACGATCATCGTATCTTGCATAAGCTCATGGGTTTAAAAAACTGTTATTTCTCTTATAATATGGGGGTTAACAGGCATGTAGTAAATGTCTTGCTATTATACGCTGTAATGTAGTACTAGAAAATATGTGTGTATACCCTCAAGTTCTTTTGGTTCACTGGTTTATGTTGTTAAGACAAAAATTTGAGGGGAAAAATCATAGAATCATAGATATCCTGAGGCAGGGAATGTTAAAAAAAAAACAACAAAAAACCACACACACACAAAAAAGAAACAACCAAAAAACCTAAAGTGAGGTTTCTGGTGATAGACAATGTGATATTTGGTGGAGAACTGAATTTCTACAACTGTAAGAGACACAAAATGCAGTTTGGCATTTCTGAAAATCCCACAAGGTCACTGTTTGCATTTTTTAGCACCTTTGAGTACTGGCATTGGAGTAATTAATGAAAAAGCAGATGAATCTATTACACTGAGCGGAAGCCATCAGTCAACACATTATTTCAGACCATACATTTTCTTCAGTAACTTCCATAAATACTGATGGCAGAAATATTCATTGACTGCAAACCTTAAGTAGAAAAAGTAAAACACAGAAGGAATCTTCAAAAATCCCAAAGTTTTTTAGCTTAGTGTTTCATCCTGTTTATTTCTATGCTAGTCCTAGTGAGTACCTTAGTTTCCAGTGTCTGGAATAAGTCAACTCTTCCAAAGATAAAATATACAATGTCCTGTTAATACTAATTAAAGCAGAGAAAAAAGGTCCTTCCTACCCTGTTTGGAAGCAAATAACAGGATCTGCACTGAATACCATAGGAGTTCTGTCACAATTTAGTGATGTGCTTTCTTCGGTGGCAAGTGTAACTAGAAAACAATTAATCCAGACAGTAATTTAGCTCCTGAACTGCCTGGTTTACACTCCAAGAATGAGCTACACAAAGCTTTTTTCTCTCTCTGTGTAACAGGGTTTTTGTAATTTTTTAATAACAACAATGGTCACAGCAGTAAGTTTGTGACTTGTCTGATTTAAGATGCCCTCCTTTAAAGGTGTAGGAACTTAGTGACTATTTGGGCAAATAGCTTGCAAAGCCTATTACAAATTTAAGAAAGCTGAGGTGGAACTATAAGAATTTAAAGTATATACCTGTCTAAGTATATACTGTATTTATTGCTCTGCTGGTAAATTATGTATATTTTTATATTTCAGGCAGAACATATCTCAGATGACCAAAATTCTTCAAACATAAAGGAATGATAGATCAATAGTGACTTTTTGGGATTTGAAAGAGCCCTCTGTTGTAATGGAAGGCAGTTGCTTTTGAAATCTGCCCACATCCATGGAGAGGGGCAGTCTTGGTAAAAGCTGCTAAATGTAGATAGTCTAGTCCACAGTCAGTTTGCCAGTTTTGTCTTGTCTGCAGCTACTCTTGCAGTCTCATCCATCGAGTCAAGTGAGGATTGTGAAGAACCAGTACCCCAGTCCATTACAGCAGATTTTCTTCAAGTAGAACCATCAAGACAGGCATTTAAAGCAGGATGGGCATGATGAATCACTTTTGGTTTTCTTAGGAAAAATTACGTAGGTTTATGCTGGTATCAGACCTTCAATTTGCTGCAAAAACACACAGTAGCTCAGTCCAACATTGAAAGAAATACTGTCCACAAAAACTATATTCTGACAGAGTGCTTGCATTCATTTGATCATGTATAGGACAGAACAGGTGGTGTAATTGCTGAGCTGCTTATTCTCTGAAGTTATCTTATTGTGGAGCAATATACAAATTCATTTTGAATTAGTGCAGTCATGATGCTCACAGCCATTATGAAGAGCTTGTTGGGCATGCGTGCAGTGGGCCTGTTAGTTTTGAATCATCACTGAGATGATTCTGCACCAACAGAAAGGCCTCTGCTGCACTTATTCAGAAGGCTGTTATGGATAATACATTGCCTCGCTGATGTCTTAAGTTGTTTTCCCAGTGTGTTGTCTTGCAGGAATGAGCCATGTGCAATAGAACCAGGAATTATGCAGTACTCCTGTAGATTCAGACACTGGTTTTTTAAGTTTTGGAAAATTAATTTGATCTGTTCATTCTGTTCTTCAAGTGATCACATGAAAATAATGGTATTTCAAGCACTGCAAAAACTGCTTAGGTTTAGGATGTTGCTAACCTATAAGGGGGAAACAGGAAGGCGAAGCACTGATACTATTTCCTGTGAAGACACAGGTAGGATTGTATTTTCTGTCCCTGGGAGCTAGAAAAACTGTAAGTGTCTCTGGCTGAGGGTATTATCCTGTGCAGCACAGTCATAGAGGCTGAATCACAACACCTGCAGCTCTTTAAACATGCATTAAAATTGTATGTATGTATGTTGACTGCCCATAGCTCAGCTCGAGCAGACTCTTGCGAACTCCTGTGTTTTTACCAGGAGTCACATGTCCCTGGACGCGTGCATTTTCTTCATGTATCATTGCACTGAAAAGCTTTTTGTACATATTTTAAAGTGCATTGTACTACAGTTTTCAGTTATAGTCAAAGAGATTTTTTTTTCATAAATCTTTGAGATACATAAATGTGTGTGCAAATAAATAAATGTATATATATTTCTAGAAACACATCTACAGTATATGTTCCTATAAATATCAATACATCTAGCAAACTAAGAGTCTAAATTTGAACATGTATACACATGTATAACCATACAGAGGGAAAGTGATACTCTTTGTTTGCTTGTTTTCTTACTTTTATGGATAAAGCATGAAATTAATTTGTTGTAGGAAATTTTATATTGAACTTAGTACTAAGTATAGAAAGGGACTTCTAAACTAAAGTTTTAGAATAGAATTTTTATAACATAGAAGAATGACTGTTCTTGACAGGTAGCAAATCATTAACTGTGTCATGTGGTTTTCATATAATTTTAGCTTCTGTTTGTGTTATGTCAGTAAGCCCTTTATCTTTTCTTGGAATACAAGTCTTGTAAAGGTATGAATATGAAACCTGCAAATATGCAAATCTATACTTTTTAAAAGTGAAAAATCTCTATCCATGGCCAATATTAAGGTAAGTCTGCATTTTATGTAGCATTTTCTACATATTGTGAGAACTGAAGGCCTTGTTAATCACATTTTATTGTTTCTGTTTTTTCACAGAATGATTCTGTAGAAGTATATTATTTTTTAGAACAGCTTTATATTTATGTTGGCTGGCAAACACATTACTTTTCTTGCTCATGTCATGTTAGATCTCATATATTTAGTAAGACCAGGGACAATAACTGTGACTGATACAAGACACTCTCTCCTGTGGCACTTAATAGTCCCCCACCTGGTACATGAGGCCATGGTGCTCTTTGGAGTGCTATCATGCATAAAATATAGGGGATATTAAGGGCTGAGATCTTCAACAGAGATTTCATGTGCACCTGTGAGCAGGCATTTGTTCTTGGGCTTGGTATTAAGATACTGAAGTTTGGGAATTCAGATTTGTGAGTCTCTGATAGACTTTTTTTTTTTTTTAGGTTACCATAAGCAAAATATAAACCCTATGTTTTACCAGCCATTCCAAGGCTCTTTCAAGACTAGATCCCTTATTCAAGATAATTATGAGACTATGAGCAAGCTGGCATGCTTTATAATGTATGGCTCCTTATTTATCTCAGCTTACCTGATGGCTTCATATATGACCAAGACATCCAGACAGGTTTGCAGGTTGCTGGCATAGCAGAAGTTTGGGCAGTATGTGTGTCAGAAGTAGAAATCACCTGGCTCACAGCTACTCCTTATGCTGCTGTTTCAGAGGAATCTGCGCATAGCCTGTAAAACTTCCTTTCTTATTAGGGGTAATATGATAGTGGGATAATTCCTCTTTGTGAAGTGATCAGATACAAAAGGATACAGAGGTTGTAAAAAGGGAGAAATCCAGTTACGCTGTTTATTAATTTCAGGTACAAAATTAGAGCCTACTCCTTGCCACTCAAATGCATACATCATTACTCATTACATGTGAACCTTGGTATATTGCCTACTTCATTAATTGCCTAACCAAAGAACATTCTGTTTGGATCCAGTTATTGAATTAACTTTTACAGCTGTTTTTCCTGCAACAGTCAAGTAATGAACCTGTTATATTTTTCTTTTATCTGTCCTAAAAAACATGCATAATGTTCTTGCCACAAAAAAGGATACAAAAGTGGTACATCAAGCTGCAGAATGACATGATATTCTTACAGAGAGTAAATACAGTTTCCCTTAGAATTTTCTTGAATGCACCCTAGTAATAAACTCTTAAATTGAGTCTTACACAAGTTTTCAGATTATGAAATACTTGTAAACACAAAATTCAGTTTATGCTGGACTTTGCATCAAACTTATGCCCCAGTCTTGACTGTGAATTTGATCTAAATTGATGAAATTATTTGAAAGAGATTAATGGCATTTTGTTGCTGAGGCTAGGAAAGAACAGTAAAAGTATTCCAGCTATCCCAGCTATTAGATCGCCTGATCTTTCTGACCTTTTCTGGGCCAGGATATGAAACCTAAGGAGGAGACAGAACAAGAGGCTAGAAGTATCTAGGGCTTAGATTTAAAAAAAAAATAAATGTTCAGACACTGAGCACCTTTTAAGGTTGTTATGTTCCTACTTGTTTTCATTTGGAAATTAAAAGCTTAAGATCTCTTTTTTAGTACCTGGGTCACAGCACAGACTAGCCCAGTCAACACAAGCAACGAATAATCATTACCTTTTTTCATGGGATATTAACCAATTGTCTCATCTCATTCTTCTGTGGCAGTGTGCCTGAATTCGCAGAAATCTAAAGTCTGCCTCCACATGCCCTTCCCCTGCCCTGAGTTCCCTGGTGCAGCTGTTCCCATGTATTGTCTGCTGCTGTTTGGCACTGGTACAAGCCCAAACCCTGTGCTTTGGCATGTCCTGGATCCCATCCTTTGGGATTGTTGCCAGCATCTTTTTCCTAAGCTTTGCAAATGAAATAAGGGACTTTCTCATTTTAATGCTTATAGCTTTGCAGAGGTGGAAATGAATGAAACAGAAGATGGACTTTGTTACAGCTTTTGTTTCACCTGCCAAACACCATGGCTCTACAGAGGAAAGATGTGTAAGGTCCAAGAACCCTTGCAATACTGGGCAATATTAAGGTAGTTCTAACTGTGAATTGATTTTGTTTGTAGCAGGCTATGTGGTTAGGTCATTTCTGTCTAGCTACTACTCAGGTTGGGAGACATTTCCCAAAGAAGTGTAGACTGGTGCAGGTCTGGCTCCTTGCAAGCCTCTTTAACAGGAGAGCTGCAATCCTATTCAGAACTTTTGTGCTGCATATGGAAATAAAAAAACAGAAATGATGAAACCACTAGATGGATGCACACAAATGCAGTAACGGGGTTGGAAATTACATAATGAAGTGTATGTTGATACAGTTGTGTATACTCAAGACATCAGTTTTCTCAGTGTTTTGTGCTGTGCACACTAAGGGAGAAGATCTCAGAAGTTAAGAAAGTTCTGGGAAGGAATCAATCTTTTTTTTTTCCATAAACTGGCTTTAAAAACTAGTAGAAGTAAGCTTGTTTCTTAGTGTTTTGCAACTGTTAAGAATTATCTCAACAGCTGCTTCGTAAGTGGAGAGTCACTGTGGTTGAGAGAGTGGGTGACCTCAGCAAGTTCAGAGGTGCAGCTTCTCTTGTTCACTAATATCTCGGTACATTCTGCATTTTGTACTTTATTTAAATGTATGTGAGAATTGCTCTGTGATACATTAAAAGAAAATATTATAACTGCTGATCTTCCTTTTTATTTCTTCTTTTTAGGAACCAGTAATGAAGAATGACTACGTCAACTAAAAAGATAATTTACATGTAGCTTTTCCAGAATAGACCTGCCTCAGTGAAGTTAATTTAATATTGAAATCAAGAATACAGAAAAATGCAAGTCCTTTTGGCATAATAAAATGCATAACCCAATTTTCCTGTGTAGAAAGCACTATGAGCAGGTGGTATCAGGAAAAAGACTCTGTTGTAGGAAAGCATTTAGATTAATTCTGACTGTCCTTTACATGATGACAAAGTAACAGTCTAATGCATGATGAAATTTACTAAGCAGAATTTTATTTTTTTATTTGGTGGAATTATAATTTATGTAGTTGATATTGGAGTGGACTTCTGGGTAGCTAGTAAATATTTCTGTCAAGGACAATATTCTTGGAGTATATTGATACTGTGTTTTAGAGGTCTTTCATTATTAATAACTCAGATATTCAGTTATGAGTGGTTTAAAAATGACTGGGAATGTACTGATACTGGGAAGCTGAAATGGATTTTCCTAGTTCATCTCTTCCAGTGTGGAATTTTTATAAGGTAAGCAGATTTAAAAATCTATTTTAAAGTGAGTAATCGTGTTGCTTTAAGACAGTTTATTAAGAAATGCTTGATGTGGCTTTAGGGACATAACAATTATTGCTCCATGTAAGAAAATGGATTTTTGTCTGCTATGACAGGGGTAAATTATGTCAGATTTTGAGGGAAATGTTGATCTTCTTTCATTTTACCTTTAATTAATAATTTTTATAATTCACAACCTAACTCTCTTTGATTCATCAGCCTTTTGACACAGCATACTTAATAAAAATGCCTACTTTACAAAGTAACACTTGTAACCAATAAATATAGTTTTAAAAGTTATGTTAAGAAGGGGATTCATTTGATTACACTAAGCAGGTGAGATAGCTGAGGTAAGACATAATTTTTGAACCTGAGAGTCTAACCATATGTAGAAACCCCACCAACATTCAGGAGAGAAATGAATAGTTGAATAGTTAGTAAGAATACTTGCAGCAGTATTTTCCACAGGAACTGTGTTGATTATGACAGGAACCTTTGTTTGCTGAAAGACACATGTCCAGGAATAGTTTAAGATACCATATGCTTAACATTCTGTGGTGGCTTTGCTATAAAATTATCATTATAGAGAAAATTTTAAAACAGGTGAAAAGTCCTGAATTTTTGGGTATGCAGCATGCAAGGAACATGAGTGAATCTAGACTTATCAAAGGCACTTACTAAAATATTTAATACTTACTTACCTCCTTTAACTTGCTATACAATTCTATGGGTAGTGATGAAAGATGTGTTTATGCCAGTGTAAAAATTTCCCTCACACATGTTTTATGCACTTGGTGTTATGATAGATTAAGGAAAATGATAGAGCTTTTAGGTGTCACAATTAACTTTTGATATTCTTTTTCCTTTTACCTGTCAGTTTTACTTTCCTGCTCCTTCTCCTCTTACAATCATGACGTTTTAGATTTCACAGAGGAGTTTTTGCTGAGACAGGTTTGATTTTTCTGCTGCCAGGTATTAGAAAAAATTAGAAAGACTACATTTTGAAGAAAAAGAAGATCCTTCTTCAGTTTCTCTGAATGGTTTCTTATTCACTAACCAGATCCATGGACATGGGTTGGTTTCTGTGAGATAAACAAAGACCTGGCCACAGGGACTCTCCCAGGTTCCACCTTTGAGAGGGGATGTCTTGGGGTCCACTGTGGTACACTTCTTTTTGTCAGTCCCCAAAGCTTTTCGTCTTCAGTTATGGCTGGGTGTGCCGTTCTTGTACTTGCGACTTAGAAACCTGGCTCTCTGAGTTTGTTTCTTCCAAAAGAAATTACAGCCCTGACTGCTTTTTCTGATAACTGATGATAAATGTTAAACCAGTATGTGTGGTGTAGAACAGCAGGAACTGCTCTTTCAGTGTCTGGCCAAAACTCCCCTTCCCCTTTCTCTTCCGTGACCTCATCCTCTGTAATCTGTTCAGGATAGTAATTCTGGTTTCACCTTCGGCTTCGTTTTACCCTCCCAGGTTGCCCCTAAAATTTCCTGCTGTTAAGTGCCTATCTCCAAGACAATTTTCTATTTCACCTTTCAACAAAGACTTTCAGAATTCAGATCCAAGCTCTGATTGTCTATAACTCTAGACACCGTAATCTTGACTCAGTGCTTGTATCTGTTAAAAATGCTGCCTTTATGGAAGAATCTTAATGATTTAGCTTAACTCTAAAGTAGTACCCTAAAGTAATAAACTGTTGGATTTACCTGAACTCATACCCTTTCAAATTATTACCTCTTACCATGAATTTCTATGCTTTTTGAAGTTTCCTTCCCAGAATTAGCCCCATCTTCTCTGAGTGGCTTATTATCTAGTACACATAATTTTGACCTTTGCACCAAACAGTGTTGTCCACTTGTTCTTTATTGCACAAATATTTTCTCCTGTGCTGCCACTTATGCTTGGAAAATGTTCAAGTTGATACGTATAAATTACAAAGTTCTTTCAGCCACTCCTCAAAATTCAGCAGTGTGATAGTGCATATTGTAAAGTATAAATTGATAGTAGCAGGCTGCCAACTGTTCTTGTACCTTTGTGATCAACTATTACATACTTTCTGTTATATGTGTTTTCTTAGGCGTATCCATGTACAACCCCCTTCTGTTCTCCCTCTTCATCATCTTTTTTATTTATCCAGTTAATTTAGACAATGAGTCTCTCAGGTTTATCTCTACAGCCAATGGCTAAAAATAGATTTAGTTAGGAGTCAGGTCATGCTTGTTAAGGTGAGCTTCTCCAGAAGGTCATCTGGGATGGGAGCCTTTATTCTGCTTTCACTACAGAGGAAAATAGGGGCCTACCCAGTAATTATGATTTATCCAGTGAACTGAGGATTCCTGAATCGTGAGATGTGAATGCATCTTACCAAATTATCTTCCTTCATTTCTTTCTTTCTTACCTTCTTCCCTCCCTTGTATACCTTTTACACCTCTTGCTCCATTTTGAATCAGGGAGCTCAACTATGTTACATTTGTACAGTGCACAGCACAATGGGAATCAGTCTGGTTGTGTTGTCACACCACCAATGATAAATCATAAATAAAGAAATCATATATGTGTATACAGTTACGTACATATATGTATTAACAATAGAGAAAAAATTGAATTAAAATTATTTAATCTCTAATAAGGCTTTAATTTCTTTTAATTGAAAGAATGTAGACCTTTATGGCCATATGCAATATTATTCCCTGCAAGGAGACAAGATTAAGTTGGTGAAGCATATATTAGCTATGCTGATTGAAATGATTTTCAGCCTGATACATTTAAATGGGCCACACAGATGTTGGTATCACTGAAAACAGACTGTGACATAACAGTCAACATAAAGACAGTAACACAGTCAGTGGATGTGGAAAAAGGGGACATTTTGCTGGGGCTCAGTATCAATTCTGGAGTACACTAATGTGTAGCAGTTTGCAGTATCATTCAAGGACATAGAGGGTGGAAAACTTGAGCCTGACCTACCCTTTAGTGTGGACTGAAATAGTGAAAAATGCTATAGCATACCATCTTATAATAATATAAGCCTATTATACCATACTGAGAACGAGTATGCTTCTGAAAACTGACGAGTGATGCACAGCTGTGCATCCAGCTGAAATACTGCTTTTACAACACCTCTGGTTCTTGACTTGCGTACCATCTGCCTTCTTAGCTATGAGCTCTGCAGCTTGAAATTTGTGCAGCTGGTTTCCAATTCTTGCTGCTTGGACAAACACAGGTTCTGGTGGATGAGTCCGCGGACAAGTAATAGATTGGTCCACCCCATTTTTTTTTTCTTGAAAACACTGCAAACTCTTTAGATGTTTACATCTTGGATACAAGAGCCAGATGTTTTAGAATACTAGTTTTTGTATAAACGGAAAAACCTATAGATGCCTTGCCAGACAGTTTGATTCTTTGCTTATGAGCAATTATTCAGAGAACAGTAAGATAAATACACAAAAACATAAAAGTAGAAAACGGTGTCCTTTGGGAATGATAGATCTAAAGCCAGCTCACAGTATGGCCTGAATGGCAGGGCTGCAGTCTGTAAGTCTCTGCAAGGGGAAGGTCAAAGGATCTTCCTGTAAAGCTTCTCAGTAGTAACGTAGCTGCCCCACACCTGTTACTGATGCTTCCAGGCAGCAATTCTCACTTGTATGGTCAATGTGGTTTAACATACCAAGGAATAAGTCATGATTTCTTTAGCGTGCAGTTAGCCCACGACCTGCAAATCCTGGCTGTCTTACTTATAGCTATGGAAGAACCACCGACACTTTCTCCTGTGTGGTTATAGGATTTGGTCTTTAAAGGTGGTGAAGGTGTTAAACTTTTAACATCTGGAGGAGCCAGGAATTCTTCCTAGATCTGTTTGTAAGCAGAAGGGGACTATGCTCCAATGTCATACTGGTACCGGGTGATTCTGTAAGATCCAGGTGTCTAATGATCTGTTGTTCCCAGTTTTCTGTGTAAGCGAAATGCAACTGCATGTGTTTCATGGGGTCTGTAATGTATATGATCCTATGGACAATCAAGGAATTGGCAACCTGTGGCACTTCAGCATGAATCTTGAAATCATCTTAGGTGCAGCCTTCAGGAATGGAAGTAGGAGACAAGCTAAGGCATAGAACCTTGCCTTTCCCAGGCAGGCTTAGAATCATAGAATCATAGAATAGTTAGGTTGGAAAGGACCTTAAGATCATCTAGTTCCATCCCCCCTGCCATGAGCAGGGACACCTCACACTAAACCATGTCACCCAAGGCTCTGTCCAACTTGGCCCTTGAACACCACCAGGGATGGAGCATTCACAACTTCCCTGGCCAACCCACTCCAGTGCCTCACAACCCTAACAGTAAAGAATTTCTTCCTTATATCCAATCTAAACTTTCCCTGTTTAAGTTTTAACCCATTACCCCTTGTCCTATCACTACAGTCCCTAATGAAGAGTCCATCCCCAGCATCCCTATAGGCCTCCTTCAGATACTGGAAGGCTGCTATGAGGTCTCCATGCAGCCTTCTCTTCTCCAAGCTGAACAGCCCCAACTTTCTCAGCCTGCCTTCATACGGGAGGTGCTCCAGTCCCCTGATCATCCTCGTGGCCCTCCTCTGGACTTGTTCCAACAGTTCCATGTCCTTTTTACGTTGAGGACACCAGAACTGCACACAATACTCCAAGTGAGATCTCTTGAGAGCAGAGTAGAGGGGCAGGATCACCTCCTTCGACCTGCTGGTCACACTCCTTTTGATGCAGCCCAGGGTACTGTTGGCTTTCGGGGCTGTGAGCACACACTGTTGGCTCATGTTCATTTTCTCATCTACCAATACCCCCTGGTCCTTCTGAGTTACCAGCTAGGATTAAACCATGACACAAGGCTTAAAAGTGATTTTTGAAGGCTGTTATAATCAAAATCCTGTTTATGGGCAATTTTCCCAATTAACCTATCACAGTAAAGGGCATTGCCTACCTCCCTTGGCTTCCAAAGCAGTAGTTCAGTGAGTCACATCATCACCAGGGCTGTGTGTCTCTGTACGTGTTCATTAACACACATTGTCCAGAGAAGCTGTGGCTTCTCTGTGTGCTTGCAATGTTCAAGGCCAGATTGGATAGGGCTTTGAGCAACCTGGTCTAGTGGAAGTTGTCCCTGCCCATGGCAGGAGTTTGGAACCAGATGGTCTTTAAGGTTCCTTCCAACCCAAAACATTCTATGAATAGGGACAGCAGAAGTACTATTATTTCCAGCAGCTGCAGATCTCATCCTACATCAGGTTGTAGCCACCATCCTGTTTTGCTAAACACATCTGTACTGATTATCATATACAATAGCTGGTTGCTCTCTTAGTTATCAAAATGATTTCTGATTAAAACTTAAGCATTTTCTCCCCTCTAAGGTGCTATACCCACCTCCAGGCCTGAAACAAGGGTCTTGAAAATGAGAATAAGAGCTAGCTTTTATTTATCCCTAAGCACAGCATTAGAGCTATCCTGAACAGAAAAGATTCTTTACCACACAGAATATATACCAGTTGTGACAAATTCCATGTATCTTTGAATTTACTGCTCTTTGAGAGGAAATGTTCATTTAAGCTTAATTGAAAATAAACCAGAACTGTTCTAAAAGTCATTCAGATACACTTATTTGTCAAGCTAAATGGCTTCTTCATGTAAAACCACTCAGATTATTAACAGAATCTGTCAACCCAGGAACCCATGTGTCTTGAAAATAATGTTCTGAATTTATAGTCTTCCTGAGTATTTAGAAAATGATAGTGTAGTGATTGTTTTAGCCTGTTGCATGTTTGCAATTCATCAGATATTATCCTTGGGGCTTATGGATCTATATTATATAGATATGGATGTTCACAACTGGATATTCACTATTACTCTTAAAAGGATACAAAAAAATTGAACAAGTATCTCAAAAAGAGACTGAGGAGAGATGCTAGGGGAATTTTCAGAAATGCAGTACTTCTAAAGAAATAAGAATGTAACAAAATAAAGCTTGAAATACTTATTCAGGCAAGTGTCATTAGTCTTTAGTAGTTTTTACATTGCACTGGTATTGCTAGGCTTAAATTATTATCTGATATCACTGATACTAAATAGATATCAAACAAAATTTTATCTTAGCAGAAGGTGCTGTATTACATTGAAAGATAAAATGTGAATGGAGAATGACATTGGAAAAAACTTTGTTAGGCTATATCGTTTTATTGAGTTGTACTTCTAAAAGCCACTGTCTAATCAAGTCTCCTTTTTTATAGGTATTGGTTTGCTTTGAAATATGGCTACCAAGCTGCATTTAAACAAAAAAACAGTGGAGATGCACCAGAAACAGACTCTCCCAACTTCCTTCAAAAGCAAGCCATTGACGTAGTGACTGATATTAACATGCTCGGGGTATTCAAGACTTTTCTTGAGACCACACCACAACTTTGTGTCCAGATTTATATCCTCATGGAATATGGCAAAAGTAATTTCTCTCAATGTGAGTCTTTCTCCTTAATTTGCAAGTTGAGTTTCTTACCTAAAAGATAACTCGTGATTAGATAACATTTTAAACATGCCTTGGAAAAGATATACTGTGCTGTATGATTACTCTGCATTTAGTTAGAACTTCTGACTAATAGATGGTCCATTCTGCTCAATCCATGAGAAGAAAGATTTCACTATAACAAGTCACAGTATCTAATATAAACATGATACATCACTTCAAAGTAATACAGTTAGTATATAATTTGCAGAACAGCTTGTTTTGTGTGCTTTTATTTACAGTTTCTTTTAAAACTGCAAAATGAGCATCTGGGAATCAGTAATGTATTTAGAGTACCCCTGTGTTTTGTCACTACCATCATTTGTGTTACAGATGAGGAGCAGAGTCAGAAAAGACTATGTCAGCATTGCAGAGTGCAATATGATGAAGAGAACCATATGATGATATGGTTCAACTCTCAGAAGCAAGACAGCAACTATACCATTTCCAGCTCTAAAACTAGCAGAATTATTGGCAAGACATTGACTTTAAATATGACCATGTGAAGGGTCAAGTCTTGCTTATAGATTTCCTCATTATAGACAACCCAGAGCTAGTATCAGCTGCTGAAAATTTTTTATGGGCTATTTGCTATACTTTGTGAATTTCTAAGTCACCTGTGAATGGAGATGGCAAATACAACACACAATTTAGGCAATTAATTAATGTCCAGAAGCATACCAAGCAGTATTAGGTGCCTAGATTTAGGTGACTAAACTGAGCCTTAAAATGAAGGTGACTTGTTCAGGAGCATGGAGGAAATATGAAATTGCTATAAAGAAAGTGTTAACAAAACATGAACTTATCCAAAAGTTCATTCAGAAATTATAACATAAAATAGACATCTTTTTGTTTGGTCTAACATTTTTTCTTTTGTTTTGTATAGATGTTGCCATTATTATGTCCTTTTGTGGTATCTCCTTTTCAGTGGTTGATTATCAGATTTCATTACGAAAATCTCTGCCTGATAAAGATGAATTTCCTGTGCTTTCCAAGGTAGTGTATCTCTTCTACAAACTTCTTACCATCACTTCTTGGATACTCAGTATTACACTGGTCATGCTACTAAGTGTTAGAAGTTCTGTAATTCTGCTGATACTTCTTTGGATCTGTGGCTTCACCTGGACTGTGAAACAACATACGACATTTTGCAAATCTAAGAAGATGGAATATCTGTACAGAACTGTTGTTGGAATCATTCTAATTTTTACCTTTTTTAACATAAAGGGGAGAAAAACAAAAGTTTGCATTTCTATTTATTATGCTACTCACACTGTTGTAACTCTAGGTATTCTGTTTGTATACCTGTTCTGGAAACCTTCAATTATTATGGAAATAAGTTTTATAATTGTGAGCATCCTAACTATTCTTAGTCTGGTGTTAGGTATTACTTTTCTTGTTGTTTATTATAGGTGTTTTCATCCCACTTCTTATTGCAGACCACAGGCATGTTCAGATGAAGTTGATGGAGATGCCAGACACAAAGATAGAGTGAGAATCTGTAGATTTCAAAATTTCATAATGCAGTGAACAATGTAGTTTTTTTTTTAATTGTGTGGACTCCAAAGCAAATGCTTGCTGGACAGCCTGTTCCTCTGTCATTTTTTTCTCATGCATTGTGGTTGAGTAGTGCATAATGGATCAGAGTTACTTGCTCTGAATAACTATTGTTTTCAGTGATGCTGTACAAAGCCTTTCTAACATGAATATTTCTCTATGTTCTGGTCAAAGTAACTTCTGAAAAAAAAGTAACTTAATCCAGCTAACACAATCCACTGTTTCCATTTTTAGCAATGCGAATAAAACATAGGGAATGCTAAAAGTTAATCAAATGAAAGCTAGCATTAAAACAATATTCTATTAATTTATGTTGACTCTATTAAAAACAAAGCTTGCTTTTCTGTTCTTGCTGGAAGGAAAGGAGTGCATTTGAAATAATAGAGGGTGGTGATCAGTTATCTGCTTCTCCCCATTAGCGTAAAAGCTGCAGTTCTTTAGATGAGGAGAGTTACAAATTGTATGGCCTTCTTTCTGAATATCGCCTGAAGAAGAATAGCTTTGATTTATGGCTCAATCACTGTCTTGCCACAAGAAAATCTGGGGAGCTATTTTCAAGTGTTTTAACTTCTAGGTGTTTTAATGACCCCTTTATTGGTTTTGTTCTGATAATCTCTCTCACAACCTTCTGTGTTTAGGGGTGATACCAGCTTGTTCCTCTGGATTATAATAGCAGCCTGAGTGATTTATGGATGGCAACATGAGTCTTGCATATAAAAGAACTATCTTCCCTGAAGCTTTCCTCTCTTTTGAGCTCTAAGATATAATACTTTAAATGCTGGTTTCTGTTGAAAAAGGAGGCTATGCAAGGTGTGCAGTGGTGCAGTTTCTTTTGTCACTGTAGAAAAGAGAAGCGACTGTCCTGATGCACTGCACTCACAGGGTTTGGGAACGATAGAATAATCAGCTTGTCCCTCAAGGTTTTTTGGCAGATGGCAGAGTGAAATTGGACAATACTTCAGTCCCGTGTTCAAATGCCAAATCAATAACAGTGGGAATAAGGTAGATAGCCAAGCTTCTTCAGAAATAAAATCTAAGGCTAAGTCTTTCAGAACTGCTGCATTTGAAATCTGAACTATGAAAACCAGGGCTTTTTTTCTCCCCCCTAATCCCTTCCAGTAATTCACATGTGCATTTAGAGTAGCCACAGGCAAAGGGAGGAAACAAGGCTTGAGAAGAGAGACTAGAGATAAGAAAAACTGATAAACTTTGCCACAAACCAAATCTGTTAGCATTATTGATTGACAACAAACTTCCATGAAACTTTGAGGAAGGGCTGATGCTTTGGTTGATAACTAGGGTGTTGAAGAGCTGTGTCTTGAGTCTTTTTGTCAAGGTGATGGACTGCAGACTGCCTTTTTCTTGTTACCCTTCCAGCATTAGCACAGCTTGGGGAAGTTTCTAAAAGTGTCTCTTTCCTGTTCCATTTCCATAGTTCTCTTTACCAGGCCAACCACTTATATCTCCCTAATCCTACTACAGCAAATTCATTTCTTGGGCTGAGTGGTCTGCCTTTTTGAGGATATGGATGAGAAAGAAGCATAGTAGAAAGAGTTTACTTCTAAAATCCCTCATTTCTATTTAAGGGGAACTAGAACATGGGTCCAGAAGTTAAGAGCTAAAAAAGCACAATTCATTTTTTTTTTTTTTTCTAAAATGAATATAGAAACCAGTATTTTCACTCCTCTACTCTGGGAAAGAGATTTCTAGGTTTGTTTGCCCTGAAATGACTGCTTAAGTAAGAGAAAAAGCCCATGGCTCCATCCTGCTTCATGCACTGTGAGTGCCCTGAATTGTCATCTACAGAGTATTTATTGCTGGTGATGGTGCCCTTGGTAGCAAAGTGCATGCCTGCTTTTAGGCTGAATGAACTCTTATTTTGCTATGAAAAAATAGGATGCTAAATAGTTCTACATTGTTTCCCGCACTTATTGTTTGTCTACCTGAAATCCTGAGAAAGAATGAGGGCAAGGTACAATGGAATAGGGAGAATATTATGTCTATCTTGCAGAAAATGACAAAAATTTGTCTGTTACTTCAACTTCGTACATTATCTGAGAAGCAGATCTCTGGGGAAATATGAACTGAGAAGTACTAATGTGGGAGCTTCGACCCTGTGGCCTCCAGGTTGCCTGTGTGCTGCCAGATGTCAGGAATTTGGAGCCTGATTTGCTCTGGAGGAAGGTTACTTCAGGTGAAACAAAAAAAAGTTGTCTTGGTGATTTTTTTTTTTCCTTTCAGTGAACTGGTAAATTCCATATAAACATATTTCATTGCCAACTCCCTAGCTAACATCTAACGCTCATTTTCTTTCATGGGTGAAAAGCTGAATGTTGTGCTGCTTTCTGGTTTTCTCCTTATATCTCCTCATTCCCTCTTCTGTGCCATTGAGAAGAATGTCATGCTGAAGTTGAGTTAGTAAAACAGGCATCTGGATGGCTATTTATATCACACTAATTCATGTACACATAAAATAAAATTACTGAAGTTTTGATCCCTATTTTATGCTTCTAAGTCCTAGTGAATATAATAAATATAGCTATATCCTCAACCTTGGAAACAATACTTTGGGAAATCATGCAGATTCTTTTCTTAAAGCTTAAACAGATCTTTGGTGTCCTGCCACAGATACTGTGAACATCTCTATTTTGCTGTCATCAGCCAGAGAGCCTCAAGAGATGGGAATTCCTGTTAGCTTGTCCCCTGTAGACTTATTTATTTGTTGTCAGTTTTAACCTCCTTCCTTTCTGCTCAACCTCGAGTTCAAGACCTTCGCTTTGATTCCCTTCATTTTCATAGTTATGAAAATAGCTTCTCTGTAATTTGGTCATTCTAACTCAGAATCACTGTACCAGGGAGGACAAGGAAGCACATGAATTGACTCTAGACATATTTCATATCATCAGTGACCACTTCAGACAAAACAAAGCCCTGCTTCACCTAGGTGTAAAGTGCAAACAATAGACTTCATACATATCTTTTCTCTTCTCTGCCGACTCTTAAAATTCAGCTGTCATTCTGTTCATGAATTGTGCCTGACCTTGTCATTTTCATCTAGCTGCAAATTGAAAACAAATGTGTTTTTTTCTTCTTTGTTAAGTATGTCCATTACCTCTTACAAGAAGTATTTTAATAAATTAAATAAAAATAATAAACATTTTCTTCCTGTTTTGACTACTGTCAGACCTGGGTAAGAGGGACAACATTCAACAGAATTGTTTTAATTATCCTACTAATATTCAATGTGCCATTTGATGGCATGGGTGAGCTCACCTGATGTACCACAGATAGCACTGATTTATGAAGCCATAATTGGGTTTCCAATAAACATTTGTCAAAATAATGTATTCATTCAAACCAAAGCCTTCTTTATTTATTCATATAAAAGAGCACTTAACTTTCAACAAAGAATTGCTTGCCATCAAAAGCACTCCATAAACAGGGGAAATTTATGAAGACACCGTACCAGAGGGTGAATGGTGGAAGACTAAAGTTAACTTTAACCCTTTAGAGTGACAAGTTCCACCTCTTGCTTGTTACTGGTACTATACATATTTCTTTCTAAAAGCCCTAAATCCAAACATTAACCTTTTTATATTTAGATATTAAAGTACCAGCTCTTTTTTTCTGCCATAAAGTCTTACATCTCAAAGATGGTTTCAAAACTGACATCTTTTATGCAGTGTAGAAGCATGAGCACATCTCAAAGGTAGCTGGTTTTAGCTACTTACATTCTGCCCACTGTTTTCACCATGTGCAGATTCTTCTGAAAAAAAGATAAGTTTTGAGAGATTAAACAATTTATCTTGTCTGATCCTGAGGCAATACATGTACTTGTCATTGTCAGAATTTTCCTGTTCTACCTCTTCATGCTCTTCTCTACTTGCTAGCACTTCAGTTTAATTTTACAGATTTTGAATAGAAGAATAGCAAAGTAGGTGGGCTGTACAATCAATGTTTGAATGGAATGCAGATAACCCTTTCGAATCCACTTTCATAAAAAATTTTTCTTCTTTTACCTCCAATTAGCTGACATATAACAAATACAAATTATACTGAAGATTCTCACTTGCGAATCTTACATTACAGCTTAGTAAAATGTAGACCTTGGTGTGAAGGAGAGTAATTCTTCAAGTTTACCTTAGCCTGCTAACACTTGCTGAAGCTACAAACTGCACTGGCCTTTCTATGACTGTAGGTTTGTTTCCATATATGTTTCTATTTTTGGCATACCATTTTTATTTCTGAAATGAACGCAGCTGTGAATAGCAGAGCAGAATGACAAAGGATAAAAAGGGTTTCAAATGCGCATTCGTGAATCAGAAACTAGTGTGATTTTGCTAATCTCCATACAAAATCTTCATCATCATTACCATTGTTGTTACTACTACTGGCACTTTGTCGATGTGTCCAGGGTGACACTACTTAGAAGACTATATATCTGTTGCAAATACTATGCGACAAGAAGTTGGCAGTAAAGTTATGTCATGCCTTGCCTGCTCAGCACTCAGAAGTAATCTTAAATCTCTCTAATTGAGCACAGGTAATTTTTAATGGGAACCTACAAACGCTGGAAAATGAGACGGTTACCAATTTTGTTATGTGGGGAGTAGGTCAGCTGCTGAAAACCAAGGGCTAAATGTTCCTGGAGACAGTGGGAGCTGGTGTTTTTCAGCCATATTCCATATGGCATACTCCATACATTTGGTCAAACTTGAAGCGTCTTAAACTGTAGTAGAGCAGAAAAGTACCTCAGACATAATTTTGTAGGTTGCCTTATGGCAGGACCTCTGTACTTGTGCCATTCCTGGCAGAAGTCTTCTTACTGGTTCTGAAAAACACAACGTCCCAGGTAATCTTCCCCCAAATCTAGTCTTGTCAGTCAGAAACCTGCTATGTCCAGCCTCTTTACTGCAGTCTTAGACCCTTCTTGTCCTCCCTGCCTAGCAGAGCAGATGGTTTCCTTCTTCTGTGAAGCAGTATTTTACATATTTGAAGATTATTATCATGTTCTCAGAATGCCAAATGCATGAAACCTTAATCTTGTATATCTTGTCTTCTAGACATGCTGTTGCCCATGTCCTCCTTGAACTGCAGGACCAATATCTTTAGGCAGTACTCCAGCTACTGCTGAGTCTATCAGCTGGATTACTTGTGCCCACAGGATATAATCCTATTTTTATATAATTATTACAGTTTAAATTTTTTTTTTTTTTGACACCATGTCTCTCAGGGACTCATGCTCAATGCACTGTAGCACAAATACTTTCGTGCAGAAGCATTTTCTTATCTCTTGGTCCTCCTTCAGGTACTTGTTTTTTCCTGTAAGGTGAAGTTCAGCTCCTGCCTTCTTTAGGGTCTGGCTTCCTTCAGAGACTATTCAGCCCATACTGTAGAGAACAGGTTCTCTTCATTGACGAATGTTTAGTCACCAGATTTTGGCTAGATATTCTCATAAAAGTTTGTGAGACTTCAGGAAAAACATAATTGGCTTTTTATAATTCTGTTATGTCTCGATTTCGGGTTTTCTGAAAGTATATCCTACACAACACTGTGAATCTTTCCATTATTCAGCTGAGAGAAGAAATGCATTTGACAGGTTAAAGTTACACTACCTGGGGATACATGCAACTGCCACCTGCTGTTGACAGTTTTGTAAACCATCTGTTGTATTGTTTGAATTGGATAAAAGGCAGAGTGAAAGTATTTTTTATAATCTAGGCTCTGGAAAATAGTGTCATACAATAAGTAAAATAACACAGAAAGGTTACATATTACAGGTCTTTTCCAAGCTGTTCTGGGCTGTGTTTTCCTGGCCTATAGTCTTTCCTAAACTTAGATTTCATTCCTAAACTAAGATTTAAAAATCTTAGTCAGCTGTTAAGTGCTTTAGTCAGCACTGCAAAGCAGTGAAACTGTACCTTGTATAACCCTGTGCTGCTTTGCCACGGTCACTAGTGCATTATCCACAGTCACAGCAGCATTATCCAAGCAGTATTGGTCCCCTTACTTATAGGATATAACTGACCCAATGGCTCAATGTCCAATTGGAGATCAATAATGAGGGGTGTCCCTCAGGGGCTGGTGTTGGGACTAATCTTGTTCAACATCTTTGTCACCGACATGGACAGTGGGATAGAGCCTGCCCTCGGCAAGTTTGCCAATGACGCCAAGCTGTGCAGTTCGGTTGATACACTGGAGGGAAGGAATGCCATCCAGAGGGACCTTGACACACTTGTGAGGTGGGCTGATTCCAACCTCATGAAGTTCAACCAAGAAATGTAATGCAGGGAGCTGCTTAGTGAACACTTTAGGCCCAGAGAGTTTGTTAGTGTGAATATGGTGCTGTGCAAGTGTAAGGGCCGTGGGCTTCAGCCAAAATATCCCCACAGTGCTTCACTGATCCACAAGGATGGACTGGCTCATGTCACTAACTCCATGACTCCAGAGTCTCACATCCTTCCTTTTAACTGAACTGGCACTTATGTGTCTGTATAATCTGCATTTGTTTCATTTTAAGTATTTTACCCTTCTTAATCCAGTCAGTATAGCCGACTGCAAAAAGAGCATCTCTGCCAATGATGTCTTCTGGTGTACAAACAGCAAACATGATACTAACAGGAATAGCAAG